GCTCCCTGCTAATGCGTCTGGGAAAGCAGTGGAAGATGGTGCAAGTGCTTGGGCCCCCACAACTAGGTGGGAGACCTAGAAGATTCTCCGGGCTCCTGTTTTTTGCCTGGTCCAGTCCCTGTCATTGTGGTCATTTGTGGAGTGAACCAGCCAATGGAAGATCTCTGTCTCTCTCTCTCCCTCAATTTTTCCTCCTCTTTCTGTAACTCTGCCTTTCAAATAAATAAATGGTCTTTTTAAAATAGATATTGTGTTAAGTTTTGGGGTCTTTTCTTTGTCAGCAGTGGATAGCCAGACTGGCAAAGGATCACTGAAGATTTGCAGGAAGGGAGCGACACGCATAGGTTTGTTCTGGAAGGGGCACTGGGGCTGCGCTGTGAGAAATGGATTGGAGAACGCGGAGAACGAGACACAACAGTGCTCAGGGCTACTGCAGCTGTACCGATTCGTGATCACTAGCACAAGAGCGATGGAAGAGACGGGCCAGGCCGATGGGAGTTGCGTGCTGAAGGCATAGGCGACAGAAAGCCGAGGCCCACGGATGGGCTGACGAGGAAGAGAATGGAGAGTGATTCCCCGTTGTCCAGCTCCGGTGGCCCCACGTGCTCAGAGGGGAGGGCTCAAAGGGGAGCGTGTGTGGACAGCATGGGCAGAGAGATGGCCTCATCTTGGGCAGGTGGGTGAGCTGGCGCCACAGGGAACTCAGGAGGCCCCTGCAGGCTGGCGACCCGGATTTGAAAGTTGTCCCCTAAGGGCTGGCGGTGGAAGGCTTGAGAGAGATCTCCCTGCGTGGGGTGAGAGGGAGGCAGAGCGCAGAGGCACGGGCCGTGGCGGGGAGGAGCCAACCCAGGAAGAGAGCACAGGCCGGCCACCTGAAGGCGCTGCTTTTGGATGAGCCTTCAACAGGGCCTCTCCACACCGTCTCCTGTGCCCTGGGAGCAGCGAGCTTTGAACAGGCGAAGTCTGAAGCCGAGGCAGCCGCGGCAGTGGGCTCTCCCCTGCGCCCCAGACTTGCCCTCGCCACCCCAGGCCAGCCTTTTACATTTTTTATGTGCTCTGCTTTATCTCCCCCCCTCCGTTCCCTCTAGCCTGATTGTTTTCTTTTAAAATGCTCCTCGTTTCTTTCCCATTTCATTTTCTTTCATCTGCAACCTGCTATTAAGGTTGTTTTCCCCACAGCTATTTTGACACCAAAGCAGCTTAATCTGTTCTCCTAATTAGCTTGTGATGCAGACACAGAGCTCAGCATCTCCTGCACCCGGGCGTTCTTGCCGTCATCTCCACAGCTGAAGGAGGCAGCCCCGCCACCAATTCATGCCTCCCCTTGTCTCCCCGCCTTTCCCGTGGCTCCCCTGCAGCCAGACCTTCTCCTCCACGGCCAGGAGACCATGCACCCGGCCCACCAGGCTGTCCCAGGACAGCAGGAGCCACCCCTGGAGTTACCCTTGAAGTGGGCATTGCCTTCATAAAGCCTCAGCCCATAGAACGCATGCACAAGCATGACGCAGCCATCAGCGATGCTGGAGGTAAGGCGAACACACTGGCTTTGAGAGTTAACAAATGCTGATCGGGTGAGGAACCTCAAGTACTGAGGGAAATCCATTAAGACACCGACTAGAGGACCCGAAATGAAATCTAAATGAAAGACAAGGTACAGATGAACTGGGAGATGCACAGCATGGGTGTGAGGATGGGTAAGGGCCACTACGACAGGCTGCTCAGAATTGAGACAGTTTCCCCGCTGCAGATGCTCAGGCCAAGATGAAGCAGTGTGGTAGCCTCACAGACCTGTGGGTCTTGACTCCTCCCTCCCGCCTTCTAACACACACACACACACACACGCACACACCTACACAGACACACATGCATGCACACCCCCACGTGTACAAACATGCGCACACACACACACATGCACACACCTACACAGACACACACATGCATGCACACCCCCACGTGTACAAACATGCACACACACGCATGCATGCACACATGCACACTCCTACAGACACACACATGCATGTGCACCCCCACACGTACAAACATACACACGCATGCATGCATGCACACACCTACACAGGCACACACATGCATGCACACCCCCACATGTACAAAAACAGACACACATGCACACACACCTACACAGGCACACACATGCATGCACATCCCCACGTGTACAAACATGCACACACACACACATGCATGCACACATGCACACACCTACACATGCACACACACCTACACAGGCACAAACATGCATGCGCACCCCCACATATACAAACATGCACACACACATGCATGCACACCCCCACATGTACAAACACACATGCATGCATGCACACATGCACACATTCCTACACAGGCACACACATGCATGCGCACCCCCATGTGTACAAACATGCGCACACACACACATGCATGCACACATGCACACTCCTACACAGGCACACACATACATGCACACAGGCACACACCTACACAGGCACACACATACATGCACACCCCCACATGTACAAACATGCACACACACGCATGCACACCCCCACATGTACAAACATGCACACACACGCATGCATGCACACCCCATGTACAAACATGCACACACCCACATGCATGCACACATGCACACATCCCAAGTTGCCCCCCAGAAACAGGTGGCTTGATGAAGCTCCTGAGCCTGAGCCAGCCAGCTCACCTTGGAATTTTCACAAGAGGCCGAGCACAGTCCCTGCACAAGAGAAAAGTTAAAAGCTGATGCGAAGACCAAAACGGCGTGCCTTTCTTCCTATTCCCCACCCCTTTGTTGACTTGTTGATAGTCGGCTGAATCATTGCAAAAACCCATTTTTGCCTCATGACTGTCCTGAGCGCCTTCCTTGCCTTAAGGAGGCCGAGAGGCAGCTCCTTGGCTGCGGCTCAGTGACTTGACCTGCCCAATATACCCCAAGGCTCCCCTCGAGCCTGCGCCGAGCCCTGAGGACCACCCACAAGGAGGATGCTCCAGGACCACGTGTGCCCAGCCCACGCCCCCTGAGGCCCCCGAGAAGAGCTTCTTTAGCTTCCCACAATGCCTCCCAGTGAGCTAAGAACCCGCGGTCCCGGCACTGCCTGTGACGCCATCTCATGGTGGCATAACGGGGTTCCTTGACAAAATCTGGGGGTGTCACAACATCACCCAGAAGCTAACCCAGACTGCACAATGCTGATTCTGAAAGTGCCAGGTGCCCAATCCCATGAACAACCCCTGTGGGGACAGCCCCACAGCTGCATCCCCCTACCCCCATCCAGCTTTCCACAGAAAAGACCCCCAGCTCCCAAAAGGGAAGAATCCCATGACCACCTGAACTGCAAACAATGTGTCTAAACCCTCTGAAAACCTATAGCCACTTAGGGTCTGCACTCCTGAAGCTCATGGCCCCCGACCCAGCCCCCTGTTCTCTGCAGGAACTCACCATCACGGTTCAGTGTGCCCCTGCTCCCTCCAAGGGAATGTGGGTTATTCCAAGCTCTCCCCAACATCTATCACATTCCCCTCAATAAAACTGATGAGCCTGGACTCCCAAAATGATTATAAACCATCTATTCCTGAAGCAAGGACATATTTCTCCGAAGCAGCAGTACTTCTTAGCCCATCCTGTCCTTGGTACTCCTAATGACTTCCCCAACTGGGTTTTGAAAACACTGTGTGTTAAATCATGACTAATTCCGTTACAGCAGTGTCCAAGCGTGCACAGTCCTTCTGCTCTTGTCCCACCAAAGCTGCGGCAGACTCACACCTGCAGCGTCTGGAATACCCCGAACCTGTTTCCACAACCAGGAAGGTACAGAAACCACAGGGAGGTGTTTTTGGCTTCAGATGTAAGCTGTCTGTCTGTTGCACGCGGCAGTTCTGGGGACAAAGAATGCAGCTGAGTAGAGGTGTTTAGACTCCAGCACACGGGAATTAAAATTCAGTGGTTTAGTCTGTTTGCCCAGCCACATAGCTCTAGGCCACTGATGAACTTTTCTGAGCTCCTGTTTCCTCGTTTGTAAGATGGAGATGAAAACCGTACCTATTCCAGAGGATTCAAAGAGGGGACTTCTAAAGCTCCCAGTGCTGAGCATGGCACAGAGAAAGCTCCCTCTAAACAAGGACTGTTAATAACACTTTGTAGGTTGGGGGCCAGCGCTGTGGCACGGTGGGTTAAACCGTTGCCTGCAGTGCCAGCATCCCATATGGGCACCGGTTCACCACCTGGCTGTTCTACTTCCAATCCAGCTCCCTGCTAATGGGCCTGTGAAAGCAGTGGAAGATGGCCCAAGTCCTTAGGCCCCTTCCATCCACATGAGAAAACTGGATGAAGTTTCTGGCTCCTGGCATCAGCCTGGCCCAGCCCTGGCCAAGGAGGCCATATGGGCAATGAACCAGCAGATGGGAGATTCTCTCTCTCTCTGTCTCCCTCTCTCCCTCTCCTTCTCCCTTTCTCTAACTCTGCCTTTCAATTAATAAATCTTTTTAAAAATAATAAGGGGCCAGTGTTGTGGCTTAGTGGGTAAAGTTGCAGCATGCAGTGCCAGCATCCCATATGGGTGGTGGTTCCAGTCCTGGCTGCTCCTCTTCTGATCCAGCTCTCTGCTATGGCCTGGGAAAGCAGAAGACTTGGGCCCCTGCACCCATGTGGGAGACCCAGAAGAAGCTCCTGACTCCTGGCTTCAGACTGGCCCAGCTCCGGCCTTTGCAGCCACTTGGGGAGTGAACCAGCGGGTGGAAGACCTCTCTCTCTCTCTCTCTCTCTCTCTCTCTCTCTCTCTCTCTGCCTCTGCCTCTCTGTAACTCTGCCTTTCAAATAAATGAGTAAATCTTTTAAAATGAAAATAAAATAACAGCGAGTTTTAAAAAACAATAATAACAATACATTGTGCCAGGGTTGCCCCCTTAAGCTTGAGCAAGCGCTGTCCTAGGGATGAGAACCAGGCACCTTCTGACCCAGCGCCAGGAAGCATCCCAATGTTACTACAGTCTCGGGAGCTCTCCTGGAAGCCACGTGACGGACTTGGGCGCTTTCAGCCGAGACTCCACCCGCAGCCAAAATCTGTCTGAGTCCTTCACACAGACCCTGGGTCTGCTCTGGAACCCCAGCCCGCCCCCCTCCTACACTATTTCAGAGACGACTGGATAATGACAGGCACCAGCCACCCGAAATCCAGAAGTCATGTGTGGGGAAATAGATCACTCAGCTCCACCGACACCCTACGTCTTTCTCATCCATGACCACTGCTTCTTCCCAACTCGCTCCTACTCATCCTGCAGAATGGTAGGCCACGGGTTTGCTCTGCAGGTCATCAGTGAGTCCCCACCGGGATGATAGGCCACAGGTTTGCTCTGCAGGTCATCATTGAGTCCCCACCGGGATGACAGGCCACAGGTTTGCTCTGCAGGTCATCAGTGAGTCCCCACCGGGATGACAGGCCACAGGTTTGCTCTGCAGGTCATCAGTGAGTCCCCACCGGGATGACAGGCCATGGGTTTGCTCTGCAGGTCATCATTGAGTCCCCACCGGGATGGTAGGCCACGTGTTTGCTCTGCAGGTCATCATTGAATCCCCACCAGGATGACAGGCCACGGATTTTCTCTGCAGGTCATCAATGAGTTCCCACCAGGATGATAGGCCACGGATTTTCTCTGCAGGTCATCATTGAGTCCCCACCAGGATGACAGGCCACAGGTTTGCTCTGCAGGTCATCATTGAGTCCCCACCGGGATGATAGGCCACGGGTTTGCTCTGCAGGTCATCAGTGAGTCCTCACCAGGATGATGGGCCACGGATTTGCTCTGCAGGTCATCAGTGAGTCCCCACCAGGATGATAGGCCACGGATTTGCTCTGCAGGTCATCAGTGAGTCCCCACCCATGCCAGGAAGTGAGCCAGGCACTGGAGCATCAACAGTGAAGAATGGGCAAAGACACCTCCGATTCCGTGGGACTCACATTCTCGCTGCGGAGGACAGGCAACAAGCAAAGAAATCAATGAGCCGTAAGAGAACAACAGAGGAGACTCTTACGGAGAGGGAAAAGGAGAAGCCATCAGTGAACACAGGTAAGTCAGAGGAGGCCGTGCCCTCAAGGCTTTGCACAGAGACCTGAAGAGATCTGGGGACGAATGTTCCAGGAAGAGGAACCCACAAATGCAAGGCCCAGGTGGGTAACGTGTGCTTCAGACCAGCAAGGTCATCAGAGTGTGTGCAGAAGAGCTGTCAAGGTGAACAGGACTCGAAGAGGCCAGGGACACATCAGATGGCCAAACCAGCTAGAAACGCGTGACCGTGGCACCAACCTGGGCGTCGGCCCCAGGAAGGCTGGCAGCAGCCTGAGCTATGAGTAGGAGAGGGACCAAAGGAAACGTACACCCGCAGAGGATCACTCCGGATGCTCACTGGGAAAGACCGGCTCGGGTCGCCAGGGAAACTCGGGGAGGCTGCTCAGAAGGCTCCCGGGTGTCCCAGGAGAGAGCGCATGGTGACTTGGACGCGGACAGGCTCATGGAGGGCATGCGGGAAGAGCTCAGATTCGACTTGAACAGGAAGCCTCATCCTCTCGCCTGCCCGTGTTTTAATTGTCTCTCTGCTCCCACTGATCCTCAGCTCCTAGAGGCATTTCTACAAGCTCAGAAACTAACGCAGGGGTAAGCACAGGGCGCGCAGTCCCCAGTAAAATGAGCAGTTTTTGTCCTCCACGACATGCCAAGTGCCCTGGGAATGCAAACCGGTGACCCATGGCCCTAGAGAATGCAGCATTAGAAATTCATGCTACTGGCCGGCGCTGTGGCTCACTAGGCTAATCCTCCGCCTGCGGTGCCGGCACCAAGGGTTCTAGTCCCAGTTGCTCCTCTTCCAGTCCAGCTCTCTGCTGTGGCCTGGGAGGGCAGTGGAGGATGGCCCAAGTGCTTGGGCTCTGCACCCGCATGGGAGACCCGGAGGAAGCACCTGGCTCCTGGCTTCAGATCGGCGCAGCACACGGGCCATAGCGGCCATTTGGGAAGTGAACCAACAGAAGGAAGACCTTTGTCTCTCTCTTTCACTGTCTAACTCTGCCTGTCAAAAAAAAAAAAAAAAAAAAAGTCAATTCCTAAAAAAAAAAAAATTCATGCTACTGAAGAGCTATTGGGAGAAGTCTGTGGCTTGACATTTTGTCAAGGTACAAATGTGAATTGCTTGCTTGAAGACCTGCTTGAGGAAAAAACAAAAACAAAAACAAGGCCAGTGCTTCGGCTCAGTAGGTTAAGCTGCTGTCCGCAGCACTGGCATCCCATAGGGCACCAGTTTGAGTCCCAGCTACTCCCCCTCCAATCCAGCTCTCTGCTAATGCACTTGGGTGAGCAGCCAAAGATGGTCCAAGTGCTTGGGCCCTGTACCCGCTTGGGAGACCCAGAAGAAGTTCCTGGCTCCTGGCTTCAGATCAACTCAGCTCCAGCTGTTGCTGGACATTTGGGGAAGTGAACCAGTGATAGAAACCTCTCTTTAACTCTTTTAAATAAATAATTTTTTTAAATAAAGGAAAACCACCACCCTGGTGATTGAGACCCAGAGACTGCCCAGAAAACAGACCTCCATCCAACTTTCCTTCTCGCTCCTTTCTCCTCAGTCACATTTTACAGGTGTTGGGTGCAGAGTAGGAGGAGGACAAGACTTAAATATTTCAGGACCCACAAACATCTCCCACCTGAACATCAACAATCTATTGTAAGACACAGTTTCAACCTCATCAGGTTCCGGTATTCGTGGGGAGACACAGACTTTAATAAAATACAAGTGGCATAAAAGGTAGGACACATGGAAGGGAGAAAGGGGCAATATTTAAAGCCTGAAAAGCACCAGTGTAACATGCCACAGCCACAGAACCGAAAAGCAAACACCACATGACTATCTCAGTAGAGGCAAAAAAGTATTTGGCAAAGTCCAACACCGTTTCATGATTAAAAAAAAACAAAAACTCAACAAATCAGCAATGGAAGGGAACTTCCTCAACTTGATAAAGGACACCCACAAAAGCCCACGGCTGATTTTTTACTTCATGCTACAAAAATGAGGTGCTCTCCCCTGCAATCAGGAATAACCGAAGGATGTCTACTCTGCTTTCGTTCAGCACTGTGTCAGATGTTCTTGGCAACCCTTGCAATCGGCAAGGAAAGTTAAATAAAACATATCCAGATTAAAAAGGAAGAACTAAAACCATATTTGCAGATGACATGATCTTATATACAGAAAATTCTAAGGAATCTACTAATGCTAGGTATTAGTTACTAATGAATGAGTTCAACAAAGCTGTAGAATATAAAATCAATATACAAAGAAAATCTATTGTATCTGTACAGACTAGAAAAAAACTCAAAAATGAAATTAATACCCCCAATTTCATTTGAATAGCACCACAAACAGTAAAATACTTAAGAACAAGTTTAATCAAAGAGGTAAAAACCTGAGCCAGTGTCGCGACCCAACAGGCTAAGCCAGACTACAGTACCAGATCCCATATGAGTGCCAGTTCAAGACCCGGCTGCTCTACTTCCAATCCAGCTCCCTGCTAATGCACCTGGGAAGAAACAAATAACGGCCCAAGTACTGGGACTCCTGCACCCATGTGGGAGACCCAGATGAGTTTCTAGATTCTGGCTTCAGCTTGGTCCAGCCCCAATGTCATGGTCACTTGGCAAATCAACCAGCAGAAAGAGGATCTATATCTCTCCCTTTCAAAGAAGTAAATCTTTCTTTAAAAAAGAAGTAAAAAGTTAATACTCTGAAAACTATAAACAGTTTTTGGAAGAAATAAAGATCTAAGTAAATAGAAATACATCCCTAGTTATTGATCAGAAAGACTAATATTGTCCGGATGGGACTACTCCTGCAAATTGATCGATAGATTCAGCGCAATTTCTATCAAATTCCCAGCTGGCTTCTTTGTAGACACTGACAAGCTGTTTCTAAAATTCACATGGAGATTCAGGAGGCCAAGAAGAATCCAAACTCTCTTGAAGGTCGGGCATTTGCTTTAGTGGTTAAGACACCACCAGGGATGCCTGCATCCCATTTCCAGGTGATTAGGCTCAAGCCTTGGCTCTTCTCCAGACTCCTACTTCCTGCAATGCACACCCTTCCTGCAATGCACACCCTGGCAGGCAGCAATAATGTCTCAAGTACTTTGGTCTCTGCCACTCACATGGGAGACCCAGACGGGGTTTCTGGCTTCTGCCTTCAGTGACTTGGCCCAACTCTGGCTATTTCAGTCATCTGGGAGGTGAATCAGAAAATGGAAAGGGTGTGCGTGTGTGTGTGTGTGTGTGTGTGAGAATTTCTTCTCTGTAGCTCTGCCTTTTGAATAAATAAATAAATATTTTTTAAAAGTTCATGGAAGGGGCTGGTGCTATGGCATAGTGGATAAAGCTGCCACCTGCAGTACTGGCATCCCATGTGGGTACCAGTTGGAGTCCTGGCTGCTCCACTTCTGATCCAGTTCTCTGTTGATGTGCCTGAGAAAGCATCGGAGGATGGCCCAAGTCCTTGGGCCTCTGCACCCATGTAGAGGACCCAGAGGAAGCTCCAGGCTCTTGGCTTCGAATCAACCCAGTTCCAGCCATTGCAACCATTTGAGGAGTGACCCAATGAATGGAAGACTTCTCTCTCACTCTGTGTCTGTCTCTGCCTCTCTGTGACTCTGCCTTTCAAATAGATAAATAAATTTTTTTTAAAGTTCATGGAAAAGCCAGTGCCATGGCTCACTTGGCTAATCCTCCACCTGCGGCGCTGGCACCCCGGGTTCTAGTCCAGTCGGGGCGCCGGATTCTGTCTCAGTTGCTCCTTTTCCAGTCCAGCTCTCTGCTATGGCCCGGGAAGGCAGTGGAGGATGGCCCAAATCCTTGGGCCCTGTACCCACATGGGAGACCAGGAGGAAGCACCTGGATCCTGCCTTCGGATCAGCACAGCGCACCAGCCGCAGTGCACCAGCCGTAGTGGCCATTTAGGGGGTGAACCAACGGAAAAAGGAAGACCTTTCTCTCTGTGCTCTCTCTGTCTAACTCTGTCAAAAAATAAAATAAATTAATTTTAAAAAATAAAAAAAGTTCATGGAAAATGGAATCAAAAGATAAGTGTGAAAAAAAGAATAAGGCAACTTGGAGAGGGTGTTTGGCACAGGGGTTCAGATGCCACTTGGGATACCTGTATCCCTCACAGAGTGCCTGAGTTCAAGTCCTGACTCGGCTTCTCATTCCAGCTTCCTATCAATGTGCGCCCTGGGGAGCAGCAAGCAATGGCCCAACTACTGGAATCCCTGCCAACCGTGGGAGAGACCTGGACTGAGTTCTGAGCTCCTGGTTTTAGCCTGGCCCAGTCCCAGCTCTCATGGACATTTAGGGAGTGAATTAGCACATGGAAGATCCCTAATTCATGTTTTCTCTCTCTCGCTCTTTCTTCCTTTCAAATAAATAAAATAAATACACACACACATATATGTTTAAAAACAATGAAGCAACTTGATATGTACTAAGATAAAACTATCTCCATTTTGTTAATTTTAAAAACATGATTTATACTGTTATAGTAGGCTATTATTTGTGTATAATGAGGGAGAAATGTGGTTAATATATAATTTTTAAATATTTATTTATTTATTTGAAAGAGAAAGAGAAATCTTCCATCCAGTGGTTCACTCCTCAAATGGCCTCAAGGGTCAAGACTGGGCCAAGCCAAACACAGGATCCAGAAGCTTCTTTGGGGTCTCCCAGGTGAGTGGCAGGGGTCCAAGTATTTGGGTCATCTTTTGCTGTTCTCCCAGGTGCATTAGCAGGGATCTGAATCAGAAGTGGAGCAGGCAGGACAAAAAAACAAGCACCCATATGGTATGCCAGCATCATCCACTATGCTACAATGCCCATATAGTATATAATATATATTGTATATATTGTACGTGTATATATACATATATTTTCATATAGATAAAAGTTTCTAGAAGGATTCATAGGAACTTGATAACAACAA